AGCTCAAGGTGCTGTGTTACAATCTTAGTTGCGGGTGGGCGTAGCCACCATCCCAAGTGGGAGTTGAACCAGCAGCCTTGTTGTTAAGAGTGCATGCTTTATCCACTGAGCCATCCGGGAGGCAGCTCAGCTCAAGGTACCGAGTTCAGTCTTAGTTGTGGGTGGGGTAGCCCACCATTGAACAGGCAGTCTTGTTAGGAGCACGTGCTCTCACAATCTGAGCTATCCTGCCACCTGTTGGCAGCTCAGCGGCAGCTCAGCTCGGGCGCAGCATTCCTGGCCCATGTGGGAATTGAACCAGTGGCCCCATTGCTCAGAGCTCGCGCTCTTAAGCTAACTCTTAACCAACTGAGCCACTTGGCCGGCCCCAAAATTTTAAAATCATAGAATTTTAAAGGTAAATGAAATCTTAGAGGTGTTTTAGCCACACCTTTTTATTCTGCATATATGATAAAACAAGGAAAAGAAGTGGCTTCTTTAGAAACACAAAATTAGAATCCAAAATTGTAGCCTGTTTACTTACCCATTTTGTATTCCGATTCCCATGCCATTTTCAAATTTGACCCCCCCAAAAAAAATGTTTTTCTTGACAGAGAAGCTGTTGACAAAGTACTTCCCAATTAGAAGCTTTAAGTATACAAATTCATATCACCCAACCATAATTGGATTTAATTAAAATTCTTTCAGAGATTTTTGCCCATTTGTGATTTTTGCTTCCCCACATATCTACTCAGCAGCTAATCTCAAATCTCATCATTTTACTAAATATCTGGCTAATGTATGAAATCTGATTACCTTTTCTTTTTTTCATGAAAGTGGTAGGTTACTGAAGATTGGATTAAAAGAAACTCAAATCTCTTAAAGAAATAACAACATCTGTATTTTTTAAAAAGACATTACGAGGAAATGGTATCATCTGTCAAGCATATGGTCAAGCATCACAAACCAAACTCATAAAATTTCAGAAGTAATGAACAAATTTATCATTGTTCTGCTTTTGGAAACACCAAGTCAGTCAGTTTGTCCTCTCATAGCCCTCAAATTGTGAAGATGTATTGATTGTTAAGTAGATAAATAAATAGATGATAGATTACAGAATAAAAACATATCTAAAATATACACATCAATTTTGCATAGGTTTCCATTTTTTAGTAGAAAGGATAGTTCAGAGGCAAAAAAATGACAGTGACAGCAGCAACAATAAAATCCTTGAATAACCTTTATTACCTGAGAAATAAAAGCAAATTTGTTTTTCCATCTTTGAGGTTTGCATAAGATAACATTTTATTAATCTTATGCTACCTTTTGTATTAATTTTTAATGCAGAAAACAATTTTGAAGGATATGGGAAATGCATATTAAATAAAATTTTCCCTTAGGCTCAATAGTTCTAAATATATTAGTATAAAAGTAAAACAACAAATCTTCAAAAATTATTTCTGTAACTCTAGTTGGGCTTCAATGTAGACAATACATATGACAACTTTCTAAAGGTCATTATGTTCTGTTGTTTTGCTCTGTTCTTTCTGTCATTTTGAGAAAGCCATTCATCCTTCCTGAATGTCAATCTATTTACCCACGAAATTAAGATAATTGGCATTATTTTACAAGCTTATTAGAAGAGTAACTTTTAAAAATCATATGCAAAAAGACCTACTACATTCACTGTGTCTGAAAACATGCTCACTGTGTCTGAATCTTTTCCACTTAGAGAAAGACCAGAGTTACAAATTGGCACAATATATGTATCATAGCCACATGTTCTTGGTGGAAAAAGCACTGGAATAAGAGCTAGGTATTCGAGATGCAAGCATCACTTCTGCGGCTTATTACATGTGCAACCTCAGTTGCTCCATCTACCTAAATCAGAAGCCCTCACTAGGAGGCCAGTCCCAGAGAGAATGGATTTTGATTTTGTTCACGCGTGCAGGGACTCAAAACAGATTTGTTGAACAACCGAATCTAATAATTCAGAAGATTGCAGTAAATCATTGATTTAAAGGCACTGGCTCTAGGCAGGTAGAAGGTGGACATGCTCCATCTTTCATTAGCTGTGTGACCTTGGGCAGTTACTTATTCTCTCTGATTTTTACTTTCCTCAACAGTAAAATGACACTAAAGAAGCACTTAACATTTTAAGGTTATTTGAGGATTCAATGAGATAACAGATCAAAAGTAGTTTGAATGTTTCCCTTCAACATTGTAAATTCTTCCAAGAGTGGGCTTAAATGTCCGTTATTATTATGACAGCTTTGGTATTCTAACATTCATGAATTCCTTTCCTGTGGTTTCTAAAAACTTGTGCCCATATTGTCAGCACACTCATTGACTAAATAACGTCTGTCTTGAGGTGCCCCTGTGGGGGTAGCGGTGCTGGTGCTGCAACCATTGGGAGGTCTCGCTCTTAATTCTCTCTTTCTGGATTGTAAAAAGTCTGCACTGCTGATATCTAAATCCAGTGATGAGATGTACAAAAACGTAGAGTGAAAGCATCACAGTACCCTGGGTACAGATGCTGTGGAGCCATACCATTCTCGTGTTCCCATTTATGACAGAGACGCAGCTTTCACAAAAAGTTTTACTTGTATTTATTTATACAATTTATAAGTGTCCATAAATGGAGTAAATACCATTTATAAATGCCCCACTCTTTTGACTCCCTTCCGTGTTAACATGGGAGTAGCTTTGCTCTTTGTGCAATTGTTATTATTTGCCTATATTTTTGAGTAGCCCTTTTGGACTTCCAAAAAGTTGGCAAAGACTTTATATGCAGTATTTAAAAAGAAACACATACACAAAAAATGCTCACACATACCGACACTCACAAATACAAATGGGACTATGCCATACCTAGTAAGAGCAATTTGGGAACCAAAAAGTGTTCCTGGAAAGATTTCTGATTTTGAGATCATATTTTCTTAATCTTTTTCTTTTTATCTTCCTTAAAATTTCAAGTTGAAAAGACTCAGCGCTGTTATAAACATTTCAAAAACACTGGGCCTCTCCAGGTTACTATTACTACTCTTAAAATTAATCAGTCCAAGAAAACCTTTGCATTTTTAATAGAAATATTGTTTGAATCCTAATGCTTTAATTATAATACTAAATGAAAAATACAGTATTCCTAATTACCACAATAATGTAAACCACAATATACTTTTGTTTCATCTTTGGATCATTCTAGTGAAGCCACAAATTATTCAAAAATTAAGTGATTCCACCAATTTATTTTATATGTGGAAATCAAAATTTCCTATCTAATTCTAAAAGTAAATAAAAACATAGACCATCACAGAAAATGTCTATATAGCCATCCTATTAACTATCCATCTGGCTTATGGATTCTTCTTCCATATTTCTGCCAGACACACACTTCTCAAATATAGTTCTGAAAATGTCATTTCTTTTGGTAACTCACAATATAAAATTCAAAAAATGTATAGCATGGTCCCAGCTTTCTATCCAACCTTCCTAATGAGTCCTTCCATCATTAATATACTTTTTGTTTTAGATGCCAGGAGACTGTTAACTATTCTTATACCTCAATCATTTTCATGCTTCCCTCACTATATGGAGTGACTTTTTTTATACATGGAAACCTCCATCCATTTTTTTAAGGTTTGGTCAAATGTTATCCACATTGTGATTACAAAATCCCCAATATCTGCTAATTTATTCATATATTATGTGCACATACTACTATTCAAATGTATACATTATTAACCATGTATACATTGTTAACTTATTGAGTTCACAGAATATTTGGAAAATCAGTAAGTAACATCATTGTATGTGACATTATAAGTGCCTCTTTGAAAAACAAGTCTTCATTTAACACTTTTATAGCTACACAGGGTTCTGTTTCTAAGTTGAATTTATTTCTAAATATGTTTCATATAGTTCTTGTGACTGAGTCTTTTAACATATTGATCCAAATGAAAAAAAATGATTTATTGATTATGCTTACAGTATAACATATTACCCTCCACCAGTTTTGCAAAGGTATTTGTTCAAATTTAGCTGCTAAATTATCAGTTTCTTGAAATGTTCTTGAAAACTCATTAGGATGAGTTTTTTGCAATATTATATATTTAACAAAACCCGATGAAATCATTCATTTAGAAGTTTTCAAAGGTTCTGTTTCTAAAGGTTTTAAATGTAAAAGAAGTAACTTTTATATGTGATACACTTAGAAAATCTTTAGAGAATATCAGAAAAACATTTCCAAACATTCAGTTTTAAAATTATCTTTTCTTTCTGTGAATTCCTTTCAAAAAAGTGATTGTTTTCTTCTTCATTGATAAAAAATAATGTTATTATCTTAAAAGTGACAGTTGTTTGTGTATTTAGATAAATATCAGCTAGGTAGCTTACAGTACAGCCATTGTTTTTCCTTCTAGTGTCTGAGGAAGAGTTCAGACAAAGGATAAGTAAAGAATAAGTGTTAGTTGTGCTATTTTCCTGTTGTTTGCGTGTACTTGCAATTAATAATCCATGGCCTTCTAATAGGACAGTCTGTAAGCCCTTTGCTGGTTGTATTAGTCTTAGTTTAATTAAAAATAGATAATGTATTTGGTAAACCAGGCACATGTAAAATGAAATACACTAGAAGCAAGAACTCCAGGGTATCTTATGTTCAGATACACCTCATACAGACATGCTTAGATCATCAGGTCATCGCATATATCCATTATTATTAAAGGTTATTTCTTTCCTTATTTAAAAAAAAAATAAAACCAATTTGGTAAATTCTTAGAACAAGCCAATCATTCTTTAATCTATGATTTTGTGGAACTGTGTATGTCCTTTTGTTATAGCTCTTATGCTTTGTATTTTACACATTGACAGAATATAAAGTTTTCTGGGGTAGGGGATTAATTTGTGAATCCTCATAGAGATCACAGAACTTGTATATACATAAAGAACAACACATGGCTTTGTTTCACTCAAACATAAACACTAACTACACTTACTACTGCAGTTATGTCTGATTTTTGCAGGTACTGGTCCAATATGGCTGGATGAAGTATTTTGTTTGGGGAGAGAATCATCAATCGAAGAGTGTAAAATTAATCAATGGGGTGCGAGAACCTGTTTACATTCTGAAGATGCTGGAGTCACTTGTACTTTTTAATGTATCATTTTTTTATTTACATATATAAAATAATTGCAAAATGATTTGTATTACTTTGTTCCGTTAAAGTCAGTTTAATGAACATTTTAGGAATCAAGAATATTGTCCAAAGATAAGGAATATTTAAAAATTACCAGATAAACATATTGAACACCTTCATACTGACTATATGTCTATATTTGAGCCATTTTAACACTAGGTTTTTAAATAGAATTTTATTATATAGTGACTTACATATTGAATTGAATATATTGAAGTTTAAGTTGTCTAGGTTACAAATGTCAGTAATAATGAAAACACATTCCATTAATGTCTCCAATTTATATCTTCATTGCAAGATTATAATGTTTGTCATTTCTGTCTTTGTAATCTATTTAGTTGACTTTAGTTTATTTTTTGAATAATGAGAAGGTAGAGGAAATTTTCTTTGTGCCAAGTTTGCAAAATTTTCAACCCGTATATATTTTTAAAGAAAGAATCTTATTCATCTATCAAGATCTCTGAATATGCAATAACTTGGCTGTTAGGTAACATGTTAATGATACATTTTATCCATGATGGAAAACTCAGCAGGAGGTTTTACAGGCCTATATATTAATATGGTCAATAATAACAGAATTAATAACATGGTTATTAACAATTATAACATGCTTATTTTACATGATCATGTGTTGACAGTTTCTGTTTTTGGTTTCGTTTTTGGTGGGGTTTTTTTTGGGGGGGGTGTTTGTTTGTTTGTTTTACTGAATCATAAATTTAGTTGAAAACAGGACTTACAAGAAAAGGCACAGGCCCACCACTGCTATGTTTGTCCAAATAATTGGTGAATCAAAGATGTCATTTCAACATGGAGCTCAGATTGTTATGCATTTAAATTAAGTTGAATAATTAGATTGCTACAATTCTGGGAGACTATGTTTAAAATGTAAATGCACCTGCTTACTCCATTTAAATTAACAGCAAGCACATGTCTTGAGTGCAGAAGGAAGTTTCAATGATCCTTCTTTGGAGTCTTTCTTGAAGTCAGTCCCTGCCTCCTCCCCTATGCTGGATCTAAAAATGTATCGATGTAGCGATGCTAGAACTACATTTCCCAGGATGCTCTTTCCTAAGTTCCGATTTATCAGGGACCACAAAAGACATTTTGCATGGGATTGGGAAACTGAGAGTTTAGCAGCAGTCAGAGTTCTTTTAATGCTCAGAAAGTTGCTTCAGGGGCATCAGGGCACTGATCCAGCATACACTGGTTGTCCCTGCTCAGCTGGCTGACCGGGTTTCCAGGACTGCAGTGCCTGTAGCTCCTCATGTTCCCTCTGGAGCCTCTTTCAGTTTTCTCCGACTCCTAGTCTGGGTGCACATTTAGCTCCATAATCAATTCACCCCCTTCTCATGAGGCCACCTGAACCATCCAACTTGGAGGCAGTGAGAAAAGAATGCAGGTTCTAGCTCATCTTCTTGGGCTCTGTTGTGTCCTTGCTTTCTCCCAGTTCATGTCCACCTTCCCTTTTAAATTGCAACCCTGCTGACTTCAGACAACCCAGCATCAGGCAGAAAAACAACAGACTTTTCTTAGACTGCTTAATCAGCAACCAAAACCCACAATTGCATAAGATCACATACCCTAAAGGGAACAAAGCAAGAGTTGCTCTGCACTTTGAGACGGTGGCTAGAAAACAGACAGAAGAATACAGGGCATTTAATAATTACAGTGGTGGGCTAGATATTTAGACTCTCTTCCCGTTTATAAAAAATGGAATTATTTTTAATTACTTTGTGCTTTCTGAAAGCAATGTGATGCTGAGACTGAAACACATGGGCCCAGGTTTTAAGAGTTACATAAAGCATCAAACTATTGTGCTGTTTTTCTACAAAAATGTCAAGTACGTAAGAATTTTTATAAAGGGAAATTACTCTATTTTTAATAACTCTAGAATTGAATGTGACCCTTAAAGCTCTTTGGGGCTCCCTGAATGAAAATCTTTAGAATTATACACCTAGACTTAGTTTAGGGAGGGGAAAAAAAAGACTGAAATACATTTGCTAAATACCCATTAAGAACTTGCCTAGGGCCAAATAAGTTCAATCAAACCTGTAAAACATTTCCATTTTTGTTTCAGAAAAATAAAAGTCTTTGATGCTTCATGCCTGCAACACTGCCCTAAAAAGACTGATACAATGAATGACAAATTGTTCACTTATTTGCTTTTGTTAGATTCATAAAACAGCCCTCTTTTAAAGGTTCAATTACAGAATAAAGTGAAAACAGCTACCATTCTGAATAAGGGCTTATTAGGGAAGAAGTCAAGTCCTGCTTACTTTCAGAGAACTAATTGGTGATATATCCAAGTCAGCTGCCAGCGTGATTAGAGGGGTAAAAGGAATAACCTGAGAAAGTTCAGAATAAAAAAAGAAGGAAGCAGGAAAAGGAGAGAAAGGAAAGGAAGACAAGATGAGAAGAGATGATCCAAGGAAGAGCAAATATGCTAACCATCACTTCATCAGACATTGAAAGTTTTGAATTACAAGGTAAGTCAGTTTGTGATATTTTTAAACATCTTATGCTGAAGAGATGAGGTAACAAATTAATTGGGAAAAAATGGCTTTGGGGACTGTAGTGGTACTAGACAATTATTTTTATCTCAACAAATTCTAAACTTGACTTCCTACTTAAAAACAGTTTTATTCCATATTACAGGTAAAAGGGAATCAAGCCATTTAAGAGAACAAATTTATCATAAAAATGTCCTTCCAGCGTCTGTGTGCTCAAATTATAATTGCGGTAGATCTCCACCTATAAACTTGACTTACGTTTACCTAGAGACACCAGAGCAAACATGTCCTATGCTAGAAACGCCGTTTGATGTGTTTTCCATTTTACAATAGAATTATAATATTATCTTTTAATCATTAACGTTGAGATTGTTATATCACATTAAGATAAAGCACAAATACATTCTGTGCCTGTAGATGATGCTCTTCTCGTAGAGTTGGAAAACTTAAACAATTCATTATTATTTCCCAAGTGCCTTCTCCATGAACAGGAGAGCAGCGTTATTTCATGGAAAGGCTAACACTTATTAGGAGCCAGGGGAAGCTGTCGGTATACTTGGCAGACGAAGGAAGACCCACATTTCTGTCCTGGCTGTGCCTCTTTGTTGCTGCATGTTCTTTACGGAAGTCGTTTCACCTTTAATCCTCAAACCCTAGCAAACAAAATAGGAATGATTATATGTGACTTACCTAACTCAGGGTGTGAGTGTGAAAACCACAGGTGAACATAAATTACTGACAGAAGTCATTCATTTTCTAGTAACCCTAATATTTACTAGTTCCCTGCCCGCCCCCCACCCCTCACCCCCCGACACACACACACACACACACACACACACACACACACACACACACATTTGATGGTGTTACTATAGTACAAGTAAAGAAATTAAATTAATTTGAAGTTGCTTTTGTGTTCTAGACTGTGTCCTTTTCATTTTGATGTGACTTTGAGACACCCACACATTATAGCTTCCTTAGGGATAAAAAGGTGATAGTGCTCTATAAATTAAAGTAGAAAGTTTATTGTGTATCGGGGACTTTTCATTCAGATCTTTAGGCAGAGAGAAATGCTGTGTGAATCATCTTAGTCTAATTTAGTGAAGGAATTGACTTGTAAACTGAAAAACATTTAAAAAAATAAACAATTTAAGGAACATTTCCCAGGCTGCCTGGGGTATTTGGCTCGTCCAGTGCAGGCAGCCAGCTCTATATGCATCAGGGAAACAGAGAGAAAGAGGAATTCACAGGCTGATCCTACATGAAGCCACAGCAGAAACCTCAGATCAAGAAGCATTGGTAAAAAACATGCCCCAGATGAATTTACTTTCCTCCATCTCCCAAAGCTCCAGTTCCTTTACTGAGTAGTTTTCTCTCCTTCCATCAGCTCTCTCCTCTCTCCAGATTTTTTAACATTCCCCTCCCCTAGAAAGGCTTGGAGTTTCATTAGAAAGCTGTTAGACTAAAACTGGCTGGTCCTAGCGAACACTGGCCAAGTTCTTGCTCCAAACCCCTTGCTCTTTGAGTCAGTAAGCCAGCACCTGACACAGCATACATGCCAGTCAGGCTGTGGAAAGTTACAGAGAAGCTGGAAACGAGAAAGAAAAAGGGAAGAAAGTAGAGCCCTTCTTCGGATGTGGTTATAATGTGAAGGAAAAGAATGTGGTTTATTCAGCACAGAGGAGATTGGTGTAAGCAGTGCCACAAAAGGATAAAACTTGAACAGTCTGAGCAGAACGCTAAGAGCTGAAAACAAACCAACCAATTGCTCCAATTCAGGAGTTTTTAATTGGATTTAAGAGGCATCTGGGAGCCACTGTAAAGCCATAGAATGGGAAATAATATCTAATGATGATGGTGGCCCGAAGAAAAGCTGATTGTAGCCTTGAGAAACTAACTGGTGATGCAAAATGCCAGACACCTGTTTCATTTAGCTCAATAGTGGGTTTGCTTAAGCTGAAAGGGATACTCCTCTTTTGCTTCACAGCATGTTAGAGCAGGTCACAAAATCTGGATTGAAGCCTCCTGACCCTAACATGTGGTGTGAAATTAAGCAAGTCAAGGGTTTCTATTCTAAACATTTTTCTCTTTAAAATAAGCTATTTACACCTCGTCCCTCTTGCTTCACAGTGTCACTGTTGTGATAAAATTAGATTCTGATATGATAATCTGGGTAAGCTAGCTGCACAGTCTAATAATGTTTAAATTGGCATTATTATTATTGCTATCTGGGATGAGAAGGTGAGAGAGAGGCAGAGAAAATGAGTTTCTATTTTATACTCAAGGAGCGAGTCTGGCTTGGTATAATTTTGAGTCTGGAATTATACATGTCTTTAGGATGCATTTTTAATATATGATAATAATATAAGTTTCTTAGTAGTTCTGAGTAATCATGTTGGCATAATGACCTCGCTTTATTGTATAATTCATGTTATGACATTGCCAGGTGCCAGCGCCATTAGGAATAGAAACTTTGCTTTAATTTCCATACTTTTCTTAAAAGGTGTCTGCAAGGCACACCTTGACATATAAGAGGCGCAGTGTTATGTGGGAAATTTTAGGGAAAGCATTTGGGGCCCGGACCATGGTGGCTGGACTCCTCACTCACTTCCCAGTACTTCCTGTCCTGAGGTCTCATGGTCGGATATGAGTTTGCTGCTGGCTCTACCACATATGAGTCTAAACTCCATAAACATCAATCCACGAGCATCAGTTTTCTCATATGTGTATATGGGCATAAGAAAAGCACTTACAGGCTTGTTGTTAAAATCAATACAATAATGTGAGAGCAATCTTAAAAGTTGGGGCTATTTAAGAAGTCATTTGGAAAGGTTTTCTCAACATTGAAAGGTGATACTGGGGCGGGGGCTTTATTTTAAACTTTAGTAACAAGGGCAGTGGGCAGAGTTCTGTAAATCCACCTTAATTCTTGGGTGTGGAAATCCTAGCTCCCCATCCCTAGAGTCTTAAGAACTATAATTTTAGAACGTGAAAGTACACAATAGGGTGCTAATTGAAGGAGTTCATCATTTTGAAGCATTATAAATG